ATGTTATCTTCCTATCGATAAGGAGTAAAATCTAAAGATCTTTGGCTCATCCTTTTCTTCATTTCCTGTTTTTTTATCTCTTCACTGTACAACATACATACAAATTCAGTCAGTTATCAAGATTATCAGTTTTCCTTTCAAATGGCCCTTTGCTCTGAGGTTGACTTTATGTTTGGAATAGCCTTGTATGTAGGCCATATTATGTGCATAGAATTCTACCTTTCTATCCACCGCAGTTAGCTTTATAAAGTCTCCCAAAATCTGCCCCCAACTTGATTTCCTAACGTGTTCATGACATTTTGCCTCAGTAAAAGTAAAATCCTTGCCTTTTTAGATTACATCAAAATCTTTTTTTTTCCTAGCCCTTTTTATGTCTTTTTCTCTGCCAGTAATTTTCTTTTCTTCTGCCTGTTGAATGATTGCACATATGTATTTGATCTCCTTTAATGATTTGCTAAAGCCTACATGATACATCACAGTTCTATAGTATTTTAAAAAAATCTAGCCAATTATTTTCAGTTATACTTTATTCTACTGTATTTTTTACTTTCAAAGATGTTTTACACAAAACCATACAAATATACGAGCACAGGCACATAAATATGTGTATGTGTAGAGTTTATTGGAAGTAATTGAGTTCCTAAATTCAAACTGGTAACATTTACTTTTATAAACTTACTCTGTGAGAAGACCGATGAAAACTAATCTGAAATTGATAATTATAGATGACTGGTGTAGTCTGATATTGGTTTTTGATCTATTACTGCTTGTCATTTTTATTAAAGAGCGTTTAGAAATTGATACATTATTTTAAACTGAACTTCATACTTTTTTCAAATTTTCTTTGTGTTTATTTTTTTAAGTTTAAAAGCATTGAACTACATTTTAAAATGAAATTTAAATAAAATAGTGGAATTTTTAGAACAACTCCATGGACCTTTTAGTTTCTCTGGAACTAAAACCCCTGATATCTCTGTTTTAGTCTCATCTGTCTATTGTCTAAACCACCCTCCCTTTTACAAGTTATACTTTCCAGTACAGAGTTGTTTTGTTTTTAGTTCCCTAAAAGAATTGCTCTATTTTGTGCCCCTATGATTATGTTGCTCTCTGCTTGGACAGTCTCTTTCTCTTCTTGTCCATCTGGTGAATTTCTATTAATCACCTAAAACAAAGGTGTCCACTCTGTGTCTCCATTCTAGAAGATGTTAATAATCAGTCTACAGTGATTATAATATCCATCATTTTTGTCAAACTGAATGCTCAAATTTTTATTGTATCTTGTTTGATTTACAACTTCACATCCAGCTTGCCTAACACTAAGAAAAATTTCATTTCCTTTATATAGAAATTTGAGAAACTTACACATTTAATCAAAGGAAGATTCTACAAAATTTGACAGAGAAACTCCTTTCTTGAAGTGTGTGCCACAATGTTTCTCTTAAAATGTGTGTGTGTGTATAATTTGCTTTGGATCAAGTCCATAGAAATAAACTGAATTTTAAGGATGTTAACCCAGAGAGTTATGCTTTTTAAGTTATGCTTTATAACTTAATATTATAAGAAGCATTGCAATTAAAAATAATGATATATTAATCATATGGGTTGGATAAAAGAATACTAGTAATATAACTCTTTCATGAATTGAATATCACTTAATTAGCACTTTGATCATTAGAGAGATGATAATAATGTCCAAATGGATCAGTAGTGGTTGTTATTCCCCTGGATTTCTCTTGATTTCAAATGCTGATATTTTTCAGCTCTTTAGTATTTCAGCCAGTAGAGTGACTGATTTAATTTTGACCATTTGGTTTTGACTACTAGTCAAACAGAATGATTACAGAATGCCAGGTGGGAGTTTCCTGTAGGACTAATTATCTTTTTTTTTTCCATGTACTGATACCTTTAATTAGAATACGATTTCTTGTATTTTTTTTTTTGTTGTTGTTTATGGTTGTAGACTAAATGAAGTTTACATTTCAAGTTAGTCCCCCATACAAAAATTTATACATATATTGTTGTGACCCTAATTGCTCTCCCCATATTGTGACAGCACACTCCTCGTTTCCAGCCCTGATTCTCCATGTCCATTCAGCCAGCTCCTAACCCTCTCTGCCTTCCCATCTCACCTCTGGACAGAAGCTGCCTGTTTAGTCTCTTGTATCTACTTGAGCTAAGAGGCACACTCCTCACGAGTACCACTTTATGACCCCCTGTAGGACTAATTACTTTGATAAATCATTCTTTTCCTTGAATGGATAATCAGAGTATGATAAAATTGTTATATATAAATTTATTAAGTTAAATAAATTGAGTTTGTATATTACTTTTAATCTAAATTTTGACCCTCTAACTGGTATTTATCAAATTGGGAAGTAGGTTGGAAAGATAGAAACATATTATTATGCTTATTGTTGACAATAATTGTTTGTTTCCATAATAGTATAATGTATTTATATTTGATAGTATCTAAAATTTATTGGCTTTTTATTCACTATCTCAAATCTACTACTCTTCATAGTTGAGGAAGCGTAAGACCAGAGTGATCAGTGAGTTTAACTAAAATTATACAACTGTTATGTCACGGAAGATAACAAGAAATCAAACAGCAAAGGAACCCTGAACTAGTTCCTGACAACAAATTCTCTTTTATGGCCACTTAATACTAACAGGGGATGTGCTTGTTTTAGGGATCCATATATGAAAAGATTTCTGCTTTCTTCTAATAGTCCAATTACCTAAAATAAACTCCATTCCTCTTTTTTCCCTTGTTCTTACTGGTGAAGGGACTAAAGGCAAGAGATGTACCAAAACGTTTGGAAATAAGAGGAGATAAGAGAAACAAATTTTAGGGAATGAATCATGGAGGAAATTTTTACACAGCTTGCTATAATTCGCCTACTAAGAATTGGAAAAACCCTGGGCCGAGACTGTGGCAGTGGATATAGTTAAGATGGACGGGTTCAACATACGCTTGGCAAGGATTTTAACAAGAGTTGGGAAATGAGTAGATACTGGGAATGAGGGAGGGTAAGTAGTAGTAGAGGATGGCTGTTTAAGTTACTGTTTTTCAAATTGGGGGTGATAGTAACATTAATGTGCAGTAACGGATAGGGGAAGAAGGAACAGATTATATTTTTGTTGTATAAACTTCCTCTCTTACCACTATTCTCCATTCTCATGAATTACATATTTGCCTATATTTAAGCCTTGATTAGTCTACTTACATTTTTCTTTCTGAGTCAACATTCAGAGTGGTGATCCATTTGCATAGGAAGAGGGAAAGTTTTCAGGGCTAGTCAGCAGAAATAGAATTCTGAACATGAACAAGCCACCAAGACATTACAGAAAGTTGGACAATTTTAAGGGGTGAGGGGAGAGGACCAGAAAATAAGCTCAGACAAGAAAAGTTGGTATTTCATCAAATGCAGTACAGTACTTGAATCCGAATTACAAGCCCTCTACTCCCAGCTTCCCTGGCAACAGGAACTACTTCTTACAGTAGACACCTCAAGATGCGAAACCCACTAGTAAATGCTGTAAACAGTAGTTATATTAGTCTGGTTAGCCTCATCTTGGAATGCTCTGAGGAAGAGCTGAAAAGGATTTCTGTTTCAGACAAAGAATGAAGTAAGGAACAGGAGAAATTTGAGGTATCAATTAGAGCTGTGGGTTTGAGGAAGTGTCTTGGCATTTGGGTTGTGACGGAGTGTTAACTCGTGCGGCAGACTCTGACAGGTTCAGTTTAGAGAATAAGCTCTGTGGTCGCCTAGCCTAGTCATTTCCTCTGTTCAGCTTGTCAGGTTCGTCCTCTGAAAGAAATCATCCACTAAGTAAAGCCAAAATGTCTCACCTCACTTACTCTATGTAAATTGACCGTAAACAGTAGCAATCCGGGCAGTCTGCCCTCCAACCGATGCTTACTCTTAAGGTTAGTAAGTCAAAAAGGGACTCAATATTTGTCCCCACCTTCCATCTCATCCACAGAGCTCCACCTTAAGTCCTCACCTACTTTTTAACTTTTCTACAAAATTCAGTTTTAAAAATATACAATTGATATAAAGGCCACAGAGTGAGACATTTATAAAACTGAAAAAAAAAAAACTACTACTCATTTTTATGAGGTTTCCCTGAATGTCCGTCAAAGAACTACTTTAAACTTTGATAATCTTAACAATAAAAATGACATAGACAATTTAGAATTTAATAAAACTAACAGTTTTCTAGGAACCCTGGTGGCACGATGGTTAAGTGCTCGGCTCCTAACCTAAAGGTCAGCAGTTCAAACCCACCAGCAGAGCCACAAGAGAAAGATGTGGCAATCTACTTCCGTAAAGATTAAAAGCTTTGGAATCCCAATGGGGTGGTTCTTCTCTGTCCAATAGGGCTGCTATGAGTCAGAATTAACTGGACTGCACACAACAAAAAGAGTTCTGTGCAAATCAGAAAAGTTAAAAATTTTAAAACTGTTTACCACAGTCCAGAGAAATACTAACAAATCAGCTGTAATAAGTAGTACTTAATAAAATGAGGATATTTTAAAAACTTTTTTCATTAGTTGACTATTCTATCTGGAGTCCTTTGATCAGAAACTCAAAGTGCTGTAAATTACAAACCATCAAGAACCCTTGACTTTTATGACAGCAGTTTTGTATAATTAAATATATACTTTATGTAATTTTCCATTAAGAAATAAAGTATTTGCAGTTCAACCACGTATATGAGACCAAATGGGCACATCGGCCCAAAAAACAAAGATGAGAAGGCAGGAAGGGACAGGAAAACTGAATGAACGGAAATGGGGAACCCGAGGTCCAGAAGGGGAGAGTGTTGACACATCGTGGGGTGTCATAAAACAATTTGTATATTAATTGTTTAATGAGGAACTAATTTGCTCTGTAAACTTTCACCTAAAGCACAAAATAATAAAATAAAATAAAAACAGACTTACTGGACTGGAAAAAAATAAATAAAAATATTTGGGAGACAATATCACTAACCTTTGTGGGAAAGCAGTTTGTCAAATGATTCACCCCATTTCACTGCCTCTTCAGGGGAGACTCTGTTCAAGAAACAAAATATTTTATAATGGAATGTGCAGTAAGTCTGTTTATGAATCTGTTCTAACATGTGTTATGTTACTGCTCTTTTCAGTCATATTTCAAAGGGTTTCTCCTTTCATTATTATAAAATGAAAGTTGTATTTACATTGGTAGCTTCAAGCACATTAGTCACTTTTTTTGGCATTTTGCATATATATTTATATATTTAATATATATTAATATATTAAAAATATTAAATATTTTCTCATGGGTGTGTGAAATGTTTTAAGGAAAAATTAATTATGTGTTATATCAAAGAGCACAAAAAAAAAATAAGAAGAAATCAGGTCAACTATGTTTTAAAATCCAACAAATAGAACTTAAACTGACAGTATCTTTCAAAGTTTTTTTTTGTGTGTGTGTGTGTGTGTGTGTGTGTGTGTGTTTAATTGCAATTTCCTTGAAGCTCTTACCACAACGTGTTGCAGAAAAAAATTATTTTAGTAGATACAGGAACTTTGATAAAATTTCAAAGGCATAAGAACTATTTTTTAGAGATGATGATAATTTAGAGCTGAAACCATTTTTTCTTAGATATTTTGTTGGTCATATTTCAAATCTGAAAGAATTATATTATTTAGTATTAAGGCTATCATTTTCATTTTGAATAAAAATGACTAAAAATTTCAAATTTATAATTATTTGAATTTTATTTTCTCCTATACATAGGGCATTTTTTCAAACTACCAAAGAGATGAATAACTCTTTCCTACTACAGTATTGAATTGTGAAAACTCTTAAATTAATGAGTATTTCATCAGTTTATAAGGAGTAAAATATATCATTTAACATTGACAGATATATAATTTTAAGAGTACCTTTAAATTTTTATATGATTATTAATTCAAGCTACTAAAGTGGTTTAATTTTATGAAATATTCCTAGTTTCTTGAAATGAAAACTTTAACCTTACTTATATTACTATATAATTTCCAGTAAAATAGAAAGCCTTAATGTTCTTTTCTTTTTTAAAACTTTAATGATAGAGTCATTAAAATCTCCCCACAAAAGAATTATAAGTTATTTACCTTGTATGTTTGGCCAAGTGCCCAGAGGTACTGGAATGAGTCTTTTCATGAAACTCATGTCTCTGAAGGAGGAGACTTAGCCTATTTCTTTTTTCCTTAGCTCTACAATAAAAAGACATCAACTTCAGGACAATTTAAATGACAGTCAAAATCTCTCTGACTACCAAACAAGCTTAGAATTGGTAATCACCTGAACACCTCTATGCTCACACCGAAACACTCAGTCTCACTTGGGTTTTGCCTAGCGAAACCCACTGAAATACTATGTATGTGGACGGATTAGCATAGCATATGTGAAATACATTTCTCTATCTCTCAGTGGCAATAAAATATTTGTGATTGTATTTTGACTAAAGATTTTGTTAGTTCTGTGTGGCTGTAACTGTTATACTTTTTTTGTAATGAAAAAGCACTTTGGATTTAAGTTGTTTATTAATGAAAAGCTCTTTCTTTCCCTACTGCCACCAGATATTTCAAACACCAGTACTAACAAATATTTGACATCAATTATGTTTTAAAAAGTATAAGACCAAAAATGGCTTTACCTGATTTTGGCTTCTTTGCTCGTTTCTTCTTTTCCTAAACCATGCACCAACTTGAAAAAAGGTTTTTCTTTTGATTCGCACATACTTAATTGGGAAAAGAAAACCAACGTTGTTTCCATCTTGTCTCTCTAAAATGAAGAGAGTTCTAATTTATTACGTCCTGGTCTAGTTCACTTGTTAATGTTACTTTATAGTTATACATGGTAAAATAAAAAGCCATCTCAACTCTTTCAGCAATGCTTTAAAAAAAAGTCAAGGGCTGTGTTTCTTGCCGCTGTAGAAATGTAGAACTGAGGAACTGAAGTGCAGTTCAGTCTTGAGTTGTTTAGGGAAGTGATACTACAAATTTGCAAAATGACTCTTGGTCTACAAGATAAAGGCTAGTATTAGCACAGTGCACTTCTCGTTCGTTTGTGCAATCGGAATGATGCTTTAATAGACCCAAATGACACTGTCATTTCCCACAGGAACTGGTTTTAAAAGTGTTTAATGTGTGTAAAATGTGTTAAAACGAGTCGTGGCAAAGTATTACATAAGCCTTTAGGAGCTGTTTTCCCATGTTCTTAAAAAAAAAGGTATTTTTACATTTTTCAAAATTATATTGTGTTAAGTAAATTACATTTATTTAGCATAATACTACCTAACTTTAATTATATTTACATAATACTATGCTGCATTGAAATGAAGAATATAAATCATAAACTTTTATAGTTGAAAAGGACAGTAGAAAGCATTTAATTCAATAATTCTTAAGCAAAGGTCCAGGGAATGATTTTTTAGTTTTTTTTGTACTTTAGATGAAGATTTACAGAACAAACTAGTTTCCCATTAAACAGTTAATACACATATTGTTTTTCGACATTGGTTAACAACCCCATGACATGTCAACACTCTCCCTTCTCGACCTTGGGTTCCCTATTACCAACTTTCAGGTCCCCTCCTGTCTTCTAGTCCTTGCCCCCGGGCTGGTGTGCACCTTTAGTTTTCATTTTGTTTTATGGGCCTGTCTAATCTTTGGCTGAAGGCTGAACCTCAGGAGTGACTTTATTACTGAGCTAAAAGGGTGTCCAGGGACCATACTCTTGGGGTTTCTCCAGTCTCTGTCAGGCCAGTAAGTCTGGTCTTTTTTTGTCAATTAGAATTTTGTTCTACACTTTTTCTCCATCTCTGTCTGGGACCCTCTCTTGTGATCCCTGTCAGAGCAGTCAGTAGTGGTAGCCAGGCACCATCTAGTTGAACTGGACTCAGTCTGGTGGAGGCCGTGGTAGTTGTGGTCCATTAGTCCTTTTGACTAATCTTTCCCTTGTGTCTTTAGTTTTCTTCATTCTCCCTTGCTCCTGAAGGAGTGAGACTAGTGGAATATTTTAGATGGCCACTCACAGCCTTTTAAGACCCCAGATGCTACTCACCAGAGTAGAATGTAGAACATTTTCTTTATAAACTATGTTATGCCAGTTGAGCTACATGCTGCCTGATACCATGATCCCCACTGCACCCATCCCAGCAATTCGGACCCTCAGGGAGTTTGGATGTGCCTATGGAGCTTACGTGACCTTGCCTTGCACAAGTTGTGCTGGCGTCCCCAGTATTGTGTACCGTCTTACCCTTCACCAAAGTTACCATTTATCTATGGTCTATTCAGTGTTTTTCCACCCCCACCCCTCGCTTCCTGGTAACCATCAAAGATTTTCTTTTTACGGGTAAACCTTTTTATGAGTTTTTATAGTAGTGGTTTCACACAATATTTCTTCTTCTGTGATTGACTTATTTCACTCAGCATAATGTCCTCCAGATTCATCCATGTTGTGAGATGCTTCACAGATTCATCATTGTTCTTTATCGTTGCATAGTACTCCATTGTGTGTATGTACCATAGTTTGTTTATCCATTCATCTGTTGATGGGCATGTAGGTTGTTTCGATCTTTTTGCTACTGTGAACAATGCTGCAATGAACATGGGTGTGCATATGTCTATTTGTGTGACGGCTTTTATTTCTCTAGGATATATTCCTAGGAGTGGGATTGCTGGATCATAAGGTATTTCCATTTCTGGCTTTCTAAGGAAGCACCATGTCATTTTCCAAAGTGATTGTACCATTTTGCATTCCCACCAGCAGTGCATAAGAGTTCCAGCCTCCCAGCAGCCTCTCCAACGTTTGTTGTTTTCTATTTTTTTGATTTGTGCCAGTAACGCCGGGATGAGATGATATCTCATTGTGGTTTTGATTTGCATTTCTCTAATGGCTAGTGATCGCTAGCATTTCCTAATGTGTCTATTAGCTGCTTGAATGTCTTTTTTGGTGAAGTGTCTGTTCATTTCCTTTGACCATTTTTTAATTGGATTATTTGTCTTTTTGTTCTAGAGGTGTTGAATTTTCCTGTAGATTTTGAAGATTAGACATTTGTCGGATTTGTAAGGTCCAAAATTTTTTCCCCAGTCTCTAGATTCTCTTTTTACTCTTTTGGTGAAGTCTTTTGATGAGTATAAGTGTTTAATTTTTAGAAGATCCCAGTTATCTAGCTTATCTTCTGGACTTTGTGTGCTGTTAGTTATGGTTTGTATCCTGTTAATGCCGTGTCTTAGGGCCTCTAGCATTGATCCTATTTTTTCTTCTATGATCTTTATAACTTTTGGCTTTATATTTAGGTCTTTGATCCATTTTGAGTTAGTTTTTGTGTATGATGTGAGGGGTCCTGTTTCATTTTTTTTGCAGATGGACATCCAGTTTTGCCAGCACCATTTGTTAAAAAGACTGTCTTTTCCCCATTTGATGGACTTTGGGACCTTGTCAAAGATCAGGCGACCGTAGGTGAATGGATTTACATCTGGGTTCTCAATTCTGTTCCATTGGTCAATGTATCTGTCATTGTACCAGTACCAGGCTGTTTTGACTATCATAGCTGCATAGTAGGTTCTGAGGTCATATAGTGCTAGTCCTCCTACTTTATTCTTCTTCTTCAATAGTGCTTTATTTATCTGGGGCTTCTTCCCTTTCCATATACAGTTAATGATTACCATCTCTTTAAAGAATGTTGTTGGTATTTGGATGGGAATTGCATTGTATTTGTAGATTGCTTTGGGTAGAATTGTTATTTTCACAATGTTGTGTATACCTATCCATAAGCATCCATGGGATGATTTTAGATCTTTGTGAAAACTTTTTACTAGTCTGTGATGAAAATGACCAAAAAAAAAAAAAAAAAGATAATATGAAATTCTTTTTCTTAGAAATACACACACACACACAATTCATTTAAAAGTCTTCTCTTATTTTTAATTTGCCCTTCTGACTCTTTTGTTGTTAAAATGTTCCTTTTAATGAAATATCTTAACTAGAGTTGGAAGTTTGTATGTTTGTTAATTTTATGTCCTTATTCAGAAATAAATGTGACAACTCCAAGTTGATTTAACCCCAACTTCTTTCAGTATTTTATGAAACCCAAAAGGGTGAATAATACTGATCTAGTCTATAACGAACATTTTAAAGAAGCAGACACCAAGGAGCATAGATGTTAACTGAATTCTCACAAAGTCGGAGAGGTCAGTGGGATATCTAGAATTATCAGAGCTTTTGGTCACCAGCAGCATGTACATTAGTCTTTCCAAGAGCCTTTGATCTCTAGTGGTGAATGATTTAACTCACCCAAAGTTGTATATATTAAAGTCCAAGTGATATAAATCCAATAGAAAGTTTATATAATTTTCAGTCTTTGTCAATTATTGATTTATCCAAGAAAATAGTTATCACGGATATCCACTCAGAGCTCTGTCAAAAACCTAAATGCACAGAAAAATGCCAAAAATTAGTGTAACAGAAAATATTTATTGTGAGTAGATATTATTTGAATCAGGTAGTGTCAACCCGAGTATTGGGAAGGTGCTCCAAAGAGGGGACATTGAAAGCAGGTTATATAGATTACTGTTAAATTAATGTCTCAGAAGACAGCATCAAAGTACAGGGTGGGGTTTCAGAGTTCATTGATTACAGAAGCAGAATCACCAAAGAAATGCCATACATCCTAAAACACAGCCTCTAGTCAGTCCCTAAGGAGTCCCTGTGGCACAGTGGTTAAGTGCTCAACTGCTCACAGAAAGGTTGGCAGTTTGAACCCACCACCCACTCCACAGGAGAAAGATGTGACAGTCTGCTTTCATAAAGTTCATAGACTTGGAAACCCTATGAGGCAGTTCTATTCTTTTGTTATGAATCACTGTGAGTTGGAATGGACTTAATGGCAGTGGGTTTGGTTTTGGTTTAGTAGACCATGGAGTTCCTGCTTCTTGAAGCTGGCTGCATGTAGATAATTTTCCAAAAGAACTCAATGCCTAAGGCCAAATAGTCTCTGCTAAGCTGCTTACTAAGCTATTGTTTGACCCGAAGGTGACTCTAGGGAATCTGTTCCTTCAAGGTTCAAAAGGACACCTAAGGGTGGATGGCTTGGGTAGGTCACCCCAATTTCATGAACCCAGAAATCTGGATTTCAGGAGAACAAAAATGATTTTGTCAGCTCAAAATACTTGCTGAATTGAAATAAATTTAGTGTATACAAGAATATTTAGTATATATATACTTGCATGTATATATATACATATATACACATGTATACATAATATACAAATATATATATTTATGCATACACCATTCCTGATTTTGTGACTTTTCCTTTGAATAGATATATATACTTACTTCCTCAACTTGGCTGAAAATCAACTGCTAAAAATATTAGTTAAGTCTTAGTCAGGGTTCTCCAGATAACAGAACCAGTGAAACAGATGTAGGTATGTAGGTAGGTAGCAAGGTAGCTAGGTAGGTGGATAGGTAGGTAGATATTGCTATCAATCTGGCAATCTGAAGATCTGGTGATATGGTGATCTGATTAGATTAGCTATTTTGCTATCTAGCTAAATTAGCTATCTAGATTATAAATAGATATTTTCATGCAACTCTCCCACTCTCTTCTCTGTACTCTCTTCTTGGCAATAGCTAGATAGCTAAAGAGTTAGATTTCCCTAGGAATAGCTGGATTGCTAGATATCTAGCTATAGCAATGAAATGCAGAGTAAAGAGAGAGAGCAAGTTATGTGAAAATATCTCTTTATAATCTTGTCATGGATTGAATTGTGTCCCCCAAAAATATCTGTCAACTCGGCTGGATCAAGATTCCCCATATTGTATGATTGTGTACCATTTTGTAAATCTGACGTGATTTCATTATGTGTTGTAAACTCTATCCCTATGATGAGGTTATATGTGATTTCCTTATGTGTTGTAAACTCTATCACTATGATGAGGTTTACAAGATTAGATAGTGTCTTAATCCAATCTCTTTTAAGATATAAAAGAAAGAAGCGAGCAGAGACACATGGGAACCTCATACCACCAAGAAAGCAGTGCTGGGAGCAGAGCACGTCCTTTGGACCT